ATTTGATGGTGTATCTGCTGTGTTTCAGAGATGGTAATTTGTGGTTTCTCTTTGGTAGCAATTGTTTGTTTCGGGCCCTGGGTGACCAGCTGGAGGGGCACTCAAGGAACCACCTCAGACACCGCCAGGAAACTGTGGATTTCATGATGAAGCAACGGGAGGACTTTGAGCCTTTTGTGGAGGATGATGTGCCCTTTGAGAAGCATGGTATGGTCTCTGTGGGACACTGAGGGAAGGGCTTGCTGCATACCTCTCATGAGATTACCTCTCATTTGAGTGCCTTCTTACTGAACAGTTCCTCCTCCGACCACTGTGTTAGGGCTTCTTTCTGGTTTTTATAAACAGAGACTTTACATTTTTGTCTGCTTTGTTTCTATAGAGAAAGGAGTTACTAAATTTGGCTTGGGAATTGGTTAAATTTAGGAGAACTTGGAGAAGGAAAGAGAGGCAGAAAAAGGCAAGGAGGAAAAATTTGATGCTTTCAGAAGGAACTTGAAAAAATTGTCTAGCTCCCCATGAATATTGGGGGTTGTTGAGTGGTTGATTTCTTTGGGCTCCTTTTTTCCCCTTTGACACTTAATATTTCATAGTGAAAACCCTGGGGAAGATCCAAAGCAGAGACTGGTACAACCTTTGCTTTGACAGAGTGTGCCAAGTGCTGTGCAGGTGATGCATGGAAGTGGTTTGGTCATTTAGAACATGGCACCCTTCCTTCTGAGCTAACACAGCCCTGATGGCCACACATAGTCTGAGGGTGTAGTGTGTTTTTTAGATGCATTAACTTCTGTCACTGCCAAACTCTTCCCCCAGCAGTCACTGTTTCACAGCTGGGATTTCCTTTCCAGAATTTCTTGGGCTTGTGATGAAATTTTATTACTCATTATCCCTCCAGTACTTTTGGAAGTGTCAGAAATGAGGTTTCCAACTCTTCTGAATGGTTTTTTTCCTTCAGTTACCAACTTGGCTAAGCCTGGTACCTTTGCTGGCAATGATGCTATTGTGGCCTTTGCAAGGAACAATCAATTGAATGTTGTTATTCATCAGCTTAATGCTCCTTTGTGGCAGGTAAGAAACCGAACTTCTATATTTTGGCCTATTTTTTAGCTGATGAGTACAAAAACTGTTGAAACTTCCTGATTTATTAAAGGAGAGCAGTCAGTAGCTGGGCCTGATGTAGAGCTGCACTTGAAGGAAAATACTTTGGATTTCATCTGGGAGGAGAAGGAATGAAAGATAAAGAGTTGGAGACAGCAGCGTGTTTTAGTTTGGTTTTAAGCTACTAACTTCATTTCTCTCTCCTGAAGATCAATATAAGGTGACTTTTCTGAGAGGATAAGGTTCAGAAATATGGAATTAAGGGTATAGTGGGGCAGTCCCTGTAGTGTGTTGGGATTAAGCTCTGCATGGGATTGGGAATGAGAAGGTTTCTGACAGTTGGAGAAATGAGGATCTGGACTGGAGGGAGAGGAAAGAAGTTTTAAAACCTCAAGGTGGTGGTTAATCATGTTCTGGTTTCCTCTGACAGAGGGGCACTGGAGCAAGTAATCCATCGGGTCCCTCCTGCTTTCCCTTTTTTTGGGCTTTTTTTTTATCTATAACTATCTTATACTTCCAGGGTGTTCTGGTAAGACCATGCAAGAAGAGACTCACTACTGAGAGCTAAATTTTCAGAATAATCTTTCAACAGCTTTAGGATTTGTTTAGGGATCTATTTAGGCTCTGACAGAGGAGGGATGTTGAAAATAAATCTTACTCAGATCATAGAATCATAGACTGGTGTGGATTGGAAGGGATCTTAAGATCATCTAGATCCAACCCCCTGCATGGGCAGGGACACCTCCCACCAGACCAGGCTGCTCCAAGCCCCATCCAACCTGCCCTTCAACACTGCCAGGGCTGGGGCAACTACAGCTTCCCTGGGCAACCTGGGCCCAGGGTCTCACCACCCTCACAGCAAAGAATTTCCTCCTAAAGTCCAACCTCAATCTCCCCTCTCTCAGTTTTAATCCATTCCCCCTTGTCCTCTCACTAGTAGCTCTTGTCCCAAGCCCCTCCCCAGCTTTCCTGGAGCCCCTTCAGGCACTGGAAGGTGCTCTAAGGTCTCCCTGGAGCCTTCTCTTCTCCAGGCTGAACCCCCCACCTCTCCCAGCCTGTCTCCAGAGCAGAGCTGCTCCAGCCCTTGGATCATCTCTGTGGCCTTCTCTGGACTTTCTCCAGGAGCTCCATGTCTTTCTTATATTGAGAGCTCCAGAACTGGACACAGTTGTGCAGGTAGAGTTTCCCAAGATCCAACATGTTGAATAAAAGCAGGAGTTAAGTATAACTAAGTGTTGAGTTGGAACTTAAAAAGGTGAACAAGTGTAAAGGAGATGAATGAAGAACATATCTTTTGAAATCTGGAGTCATTAAGCACAGACATGGCTGAGAGGTGACTTGGTGTAAATCCTGCAAGGTGGGATAAGCTGAGTCAAAGACGTAAAACGATTGGGAAACCCTGGAGTCCTAAAGCAAGGTATTTCTTGTCTTCTGCTTGCTGACATCTTCTCCAGGAGGGCTCTAAGATCTTTGAACCCTGGCTTGACAGGTAAGCAAAGGAGATCTGCAAGTGCAGTGTAATTTTCTGCCTTCCTTGCAAGAGCTGGGATATGGCAGAGCTTTTAGCTAAGAGTTTGAGACACTGATGGTTGGGGTAGGAATGATTCTTGCCTCACTACAGATAATACTCAGAGCAGGAATTATCTCTGGAAACTGCTGCACTTGGTGCTGACAAAAGCGAAGGAGCATGTAGTTGTTCCCAGTGCTCATGAAGAGAGTTAATGTGTTTTCATGGTTGGGCTTTATTTCTGTTAGTCTTACTTTTAGAAACAAAGCATAACCACTTAGAGTGCTAACTGTTGGAGCACCATCTTGCCCAACTGCAGAACAAAACTGACTCCCAGTGAGTGTTGCCACTGTCATCAGAACTTGAACACTCTTTTTTTTACCCTTGTTTTTGAGGGGAAAATGGCATTTCCCCCTGAATGGGGGGGTCTGGGAGGACAGTCAGAAAATTAGCAGCTCCAGTGAAAAGTTTAGAAAACAGTTTTGAGCTTTTTATGTATATATATCCGTGTGTGTGTGTATATCTGTGTGTATATATATATAAATATATATATATTTTATATATGTTATAGCTGACCCAAGGTGGTGTGTTCATTTTCAAAGATCATGAGACACCAGCTCTGTTGGCCCTGTAGGATTATTAGGTCAATGTTTAGCAGCTACCTACTTCGCTTCCTATCAAGAGTGTTTTATCATGGCTTCAGAAAATGAATGTAGTGCTGAATTTGATTCCAAATCCTCATTTGCAAGTGATTTGTTTCCTTTAGATTCAGGGCACAGACCAAAGCAACGTGAGGGAGCTGCACATTGCGTATCGTTACGGAGAGCACTACGACAGTGTGAGGAGGATCAGTGATGACTCTGAGGCTCCAGCCTGTCTTCAGATGGAGGTTGGTTGTGACAGGATGGCCTGAGTCAGCTGTGGGTGAGAAACAAAATAGGTTAATGTTACAGGTTGATTTTCTTTCTCATTTGCATTGAGATTGAGAAAAGAGTGGTCGTGTTGGGGATAGGAAAGGTCACTGGAACTAGTGCTGCGTGAGAGGACAAGTGGGAATGGATCAAAGCTGGAAGAGGGGAGATTTAGGTTGGACTTTAGGAGGAAATTCTTCCCTGTGAGGGTGGTGAGACATTGGCCCAGGTTGCCCAGGGAAGCTGTGGCTGCCCCATCCCTGGCAGTGTTGAAGGGCAGGTTGGATGGGGCTTGGAGCAACCTGGTGTGGTGGGAGGTGTCCCTACCCATGCAAGGGGTTGGATCTAGATGATCTTAAGATCCCTTCCAACCTAAACCAGTCTATGATTCTATGATTGTTGTGATGTGGGCTGTAGATGTCTTGAATAATATCTAAATACTCATGCACCTTGAATGTAAAAACAAAGGGAAGGGAGGAGGGATCCAGTAATGGCTGCATGCAACATTCCTCTTCATATCTCACTTTTTATGTGAAGGAGTAAACTGGGCTGTCCTGGAGGTTGTCTGCACACAACTGTATGATGGGTGGCATTATAAACAAATTAATACCTCACTTCAAAAGCCCGTGATTGTTTATTATTTTGCATGATCTTGCATTATGTCAGAGCTTGTTCAGAAATGTAGGAATGGGGGGAGATGGTGTCAGTGATGATGGAAGTTACACAGTTGCCAAAATACTTTGACACAGGGTGTTTCTGAGAAAAGTGTGCCATAATACAACATTTTTAGCAATATCAAGTTATTTTTGCAGCTGCATGTTGCTGGATGTCCTCATGTGACCTCCTGGGCTTTGCTTTTCTTGCAGATGCTTTGCAAAAATGATTTGAAAACAGAAGAGGAAGTGAAGCTACAGAAGGGTGACTCTGAAGAGAAGAATGAAGTGGAATTGGAAGATGCTATACAAAAAGTGTGTAATGCAACTGGGCATTCAGTAAGTATTGAGTAACCTTTTTGTGCTTATGTCTTCAGACCTTGATGCATGAAAAATTCTCAAAACCACTTAATTTCAGGCAATTTCAGTACAGCAGATAAATCAGGATGGTTTTCATCCTCGATGGTTTTCAACCTTTAAATGCAGATTAAATGTGTACTCTGGGTGGATCCCCAGTACTTTTGGAAGGTTTGTCTTGCAGCCTCTCAGGAAGTTTGCTTAGAAACAAATTCTGTATAATTGGAAGTCCTTTGAGGGTGTCTGGAGTTGAACATCCCAGATTACTAGATACGCTGCCAACCTTACCTGTTGTCACTGTAGAGCCTATGTGGGTCCTCACCTTGCTGCTGGCACTGGGCAAATAAATGTACAGGACAGGAAGAATGAAGCAGTTATGCTAAAAGCATATTCCTTTTTCCTGATATCTTCAGGATTGTAATGATTTTTTCCCTCAGCTTTTTCAGAAATGGAATACAGGCTAATGGAAAGGTCATAAAATCAGACAGCAACCCCCTCTTGGAGGTGCAGATGGTTGTTAAATGGATGCATGTCAGTGATTTGAACTCTCTTCAGTGTTCTCTTTTCCTCTTGTGGACAGGACATTGATTTGGTAAGCAAGATTCTGGAAGCAGAAGACTACAATATAGAATCTGCAACATTTGCCATCTTACAAGTGAAGGAAGTGGAAAAAATCAGTAAGTACTTGGAGTGTGTCACTGGTTCTTCAGCAGAATGCTGTCTGACATCAGTGTTGACTGTAAACAGCAGTTTGAGAGGGACAGTAGCAGTTGGAATTTACCTTTGGCTGTGCTGCCACCTCAGCCTTTCTGTGCTCATGAAGGTTGGAAGTGAGGGCAGATTAAAAAAATATTAAAAAAAATCACACAGATATTTCTTCAGAAAGTCTGGAAAAAGGGAGTGGCTGACACCGAGACAGCTTCTGGCTGGAGTGTAACTCAGAAAAACCTCTGTTGTTGGTAGGTGCTGAGGAGCAGTGTGATCCCCAGAGCCAGGATCAGAAATGGTGTAACAAAACTCTGGGGGAGGAGAACGGAACTGGTTCAAGAATCTTTGGAAATGGGAGTTTGCATCAAGATAAAATAGGACCCAAGAAAGGACAGGCTAGATCTGATGGAGAGAATCGAGCTGGCAGGAGTCAGAAGGTATGTGAGGGGTGGTTTGGCAGGGATTTACATGTCCTTTAATGATGAGGGGAATGCTTGGGATTGCTTAACCAGCAGCTATCTTCTCTTTTGAATTGAACAGCTTCCCCATCCTGGGTTTCCTTGCTGCCCCAGCTCTGACCTCTCTGATGCACATGCTGCTCAGTGACATGTGGCACTTCCCCAAATTACACGAAATAAAGTCCAGATGAGTTGTTTAGCATAAACACTGGCTGGCAGCTGCTTTGATACCCGTTTGCCTCCTTTCCCCTGTATTATTTTCTCCCAGCTGAGCAGAAAACGTGTGTTTTCAGCTTGGTGTTCTCACCCTCTCAGGTGTGTAACAAACAGAAGAAGGAACAGCAGCGGCTGGAGAAGAAGAAGCGGCAGGAAGAAAGACATCGCCAAAAGGTGTTGGCCAACAAGAGTGACTGTGCAGAGAGCAGCAGGGTAGGGACAGACTTAACCAACCAGGTCACCTTGGTGAAGGCCGTGGCAGCTCTAAACATATGACTGAATGTGTTCTGAGAAAAGCAAATAAAGCTGGTGAAGACAGAATTTCACTTCAGCAGATTTCCAAGCACCCGTTGTTACCTTCAAATCCGTTTCTGTGGGAATCTCTAAGTAGACATTCACTTCCTGTTTCCTCTGTTTTCGGGTGAACAATTAGTAATTCTGCATTAGCCTGTGTGTGAGAAGTTCTTTGAACTTAACAAAAAAGAGAGACTTGGTTTTATAGTTCTGGAGTTAGATGAAGGTGAGGACTTTCTCCTCACACAGCACTATCAGATTTCCTTTGAGGTCTCTTGATGTGCTTAGATTATTATTTTTTTATAGCACCTTTTTACTTGGTTATGCTTGGTGGAGCTTTATCTTCCCTTGCTGTCAGGGAAAGCTTAATAGTTCTTAACTCAGGAATATTTAATTTTTTCTTTCTATTTAAGTAAATGAAGGGAACAGAATCCCAGAACCTTGTCCAAAGTGAAGTGTGTCAGCCAGCAGTGCATCAAGCATGAGATTCCTCTTTTTTTCCCCATGCAAGAAGGCAGTGAGAAGTTTTGATGTAACTAGAACTGCTTGTGTTGTTGCACTGGGCTGTTCCAGGGAGAATGGGTTTACTGCCACCATGCTTGCTTCTTGCTCAAGTTGCAGATCAGCTCATTTGCTAGCTTTTTGAGGGAAAAAAAATAAATTATCAGTGGACTGCTGAGGCTGCAGAACTGATCCATCCAACCTGGCAAAGTCTAATGAGGTAGTAAAATATGACATGAGCAGATGTGAGAGTTCTGTTGAGCATTGTTACTTGGACATCTGGAATCTCATCTCGTTTGCCATCCTCTGGAGCTTTTGGGCTAATCCAGAGCTTTACTCCAAGCCAGGAACTTGTTAGTTGTTAGTCTACAAGAGAAATGGGTATAGCTAAAGGATCAATCCTGGGAACAAGCTTCCAAGTAGTGGTGATCACTGGGAACCCTGCCTACTTCACTCTTCATAAATCAAGCCTTTTCCAGAGTAGGATTTTTTCCATCTTAAATTCCTCTTAGGTAAGGTCATCGAGAACTATAGAATGTACAGCTTGGGTCCTGGGATCCTTCCTGCTGTAGAATTGGGAATTTGGACCGAAGTGTAAGACCTGTGGGACCTGGCCCTTGATTTATGGCTTGCAGTGTTTCAGCTTCACTCAGGTTTTTGGACTTGTATCAAGCCCTAAGCTTGATGAGAGCACATGTGCACTTACACACACAATAGACAACAGGAGACACCTCATCAGCCAGGGCAGAGATCAATAGATTGCTTGAAAATAAAGAACATTGCTCTTGAAAAAAGATCTATGCTGCCTTTCCAACTTTTCCAAATCAGCAGGGAAGTATAAATGCCTTTTTTGACTGAACTGCCAAGATCTGAGCTAGTACTACTTCAAATGCTCTGCTACTGCTTATCAGGAGTGTTTGAAGAATAAAAGAAGGGAACTCTTTAAGTACTGGTGCTATAGGAGAGCAGGCTTTAGTGTTGGTTCCTGTAATGAGATTGGCAGAAATAAAAAGTCACACAAAGCAGCTCTTGGGCTTTATGGTGGGACAGTGTCTGGTAAGTGAAGCAGAGTGTTAAGGTCTGCTCCAAGAGCCAGTGGTAGGTGTGAGTAACCACTGTGGAGGAAAGTCTGAGCAGTATTTTCTAAGTAGGAAGAGCATGGATGAGCCTAGAATTCCAGTACTATTCTTAAAGTGGAAAATTACTTGGGTAAAATCCATTTTATGCCAGCTTTAGATAGGCTGTTGTTAGTGTTGCTTCCTAGGTTTCTTTTTCCCCAAAAGGGTCACTTTTAGAGTAGTGGAAAGAATGGTAAGTTGTAGCTTCATGGGAAGAAAGTGCAAGTCTCTTCACTGGTGTGATGAGTTGAAGACAGTGGCCATGGCAAGGGGACTCAGGGAAATGGTCACCTCTGTCTTTGCCCAGCTGTATTCTGATTTGAAAGGTGAGAGGGGTCTGCAGGTTTGAAAAGATGGTAAGAATCTGCAGTTGTACATTGTGAATTACGTTTGATCTTAATTAGCTGCTTTTTTGTCTTCCTGAGCCAGAGCTGATAGAGGATTATTGTTGCTCAGCCTGGAGAGCTGTGAGGGGAGTTGTGCTGTAGGCAGGAGGCTTGAGCGTCTGTGGGTGTGAAGGGACCTGCAAAACCTCATTTCAACCTGTCCAGGATAAACGGGCAGGACTGGAACAGCAACACATCTTGGACAGGGATTGATCTTCAGCTTGTTGCCTCTGATACCTGTAACCAAATATGTGGCTGAAAAAGCTTTTATTCAAGTATCCCATGATAAAAACAATGTCTTAATGTGCTGGGTTCATGAATCTTGTTAAATTAGTCAAATGATCTTTATTTTTGCCAGGATGGCTTTGTACCTCCACAAAGATTTTGTATCCAAAGATGTTAAAACTATCATCTGTTGCAGATTGTTCCTTTAGCTGTTGAAATTCCCACTTGCCCCTTCCAGTGTGTATTTTTTTTTTCTAGGGAACCTGTATGCAGTATTCCTCAGGGAACTTGCTTTGTAAAACAGGTTGTGGATTTTCCTTACAGGAGGAAGGGAGGAAAGAAACAAGCAAAGAGAAGCATCATGATTCACAGTGTTACTCTTGTGTTTACTCTTCGGTGGAGCTAAAATCCTGAGATGTGGTTATAGGACAATAAGCCCTGAGTGTGTTCCCTTGGAGTTTGGGGAGGATTACAGTTTGTTCCTAGCTTACATCTTGGAGGGTCACAGCAGGCAGAGGGCCAGGGCTGTGCTCTGACTGCTGCTGGACCAGCTGGGTTGCTGTTGGTCTCTGGAAGCTGAGTACACAGAAAGACAGTGTAGAAACCTGCTGCATCCCATCTACCACCACCATCTTGCCCGATGTTATTTTTCCAAATCCTGCCCCTGCAAGTACAGAGTTCAGTTGAACTGGAATGTTTAACCATTTTGCCAGGTTCTGTAAAAGTGTCTTGGCCTTAGAAGGTGTCAAGAGGGTTTTTCTGCTTGTGCTGCTCAGCTGCTGGTGTGCTCCATTCCTTCCTGGGGGGATGCCTTTTGGTTTATTTAACCGCTTCACCTCATCCGGAGTTCCCCTTGCCAAACCTCTGGATTTTGGATGCTGAGGGCAATAAAGATTGCAAAGATGCACCAACTGAACTTTGTGAGTGGAGTTGTGTGTACAGGCCATGCCATGGGTTAAAAGGCAAAACTGGATTAATTCAACAAGTCTGCACAACCTGAACCCCTCCTGGGGATGCCATTTGGTTGTGGGGCACACTTCAACCTGCTGGCTTTCACAACCTTCAGAAACTTGGCTGAAAGGGGGGGAAAATGGGTCATTCTTCATGTGTATATATTCCAGCATCCTATAAAATGGTTTATGCTCATGTTAGAGTTGTGTGATGGTTCCTGTAACTGCCGGGCACTGAGGCTTTTTGCACGCACAAACTCTTGAGGGCAGCATCAGCTTCACCAGCTCCATCCCAGCTGTCCTTTCATGCCAAAGCCCTTCTGTGGCACTAGAAAATGACTAAAAGGAGAAACGAGTGTTTTAGAGTTGAAAAGATACATTTGCTGCAGGAAGCTGTAGGAAGGGATGTTGCTTGTGATGAAACACTCAATGGAGCCAAGCAGAGGCACTTGATGCTGAGGTGAAACTCCAAGAAAATACCTTCAAAGCCCCTTTATTTTGGGAAATACCTGAAGGGTGCAGAACACATTTCTGGAGATGGCTTTAAAATAGGAGGTACCTCTATGGAGGCCCAGGCCTGAGGGACAGCTGGCCAGGCCTCGTTAGGGCTAATTGAGCATTGCATGCAGCTGTGGTGAGACCTGCCCAGCCAGCTCCAGCCCCACAAGGACCTGCTGGAGATGGGGTTCACGAAAGAGCTACCCCAAGACCACCACCATGTTCCTGCACAGCTTTGGTGTGTATTAATTGCTTAAATAGTGATTAGGAGCAGAATGGGGCTGTGCTGCAGCCAAGCTCCCTGAGAGGAACTGGGTTTGTAGTCTTGGTTTGGGGCCAGAGTGCAGCAGCTGCTGCTTGTTTCTGTGGATTTGGATTTTTTTACCTCTGAAGCTCTTAAGATTTACTGCTTAACTGCTAAAATATTTATTCTGGTACATGTTTTTTAAGAAAAAGATGCAAATTTACAAGTATGCATAAATATTTACCTCAGAAAACCAGCTGTGAAGATCAGCGCTCTTTTCTACCCCTTCCACCATCAATTCCCAAAACACAAACGTGACACTGGATTTAGAAACTGCTTTACAATTACTTTACAAATTGCCTTTGAAAATGTTTTTTTAGTTGCAGAGAGTCCCTTGTTTATTATGATTTATTGAATTGTGGGGAGCAGGTTTTTCTCTGTGCACCAGCTCTGGGGAAAGGTGCCAGGTGCCATTTTGGTGCCGCAGGGCTGAGCTGTGCCCTGCCTGGCCACAGGGAATGCAAAAACTTCACAATTTAGACCATTTATGTCAGGTTTTGAGCCCAGCATGTCTAGCAGTGGGGAGTTTTCCCTTTGCACCGAAAGTTGGGGTAATTCTTGTAACTGTTGTGGTAGGTCTTGGCTGCTCTTTGGAAGCACTCAGCCAACCGCTTGTCACACTCGCAGCTCTTTCTTTCACATGAAGACTTGGATTCTGGAGGAAAAATTGGGGGAATGGAGTCAGAAGAAGGGTGTGAAAGTTGGGAGATGTCTTTAGGACCACCCCTGTGGTGTATGCAGCCCTCAATGTTGAGTTTGGGGTGTCTTGGTTAGTCCTCTTACCTCTGGTGCATGGAGCTACCTGGCTAGGAACCATGTATGGCCCTGGAGGAACCATTTAATTTACTTTATCTCCCTACTTATGTGTAGATAGTTTTTTCACAGTGAAGTGCTTTGTTTTGATGCACTTGCCCTGAAATAGTAGTGCTTGCTCTGAAGAAATGGGAGTGGCAGAGCCAGGTCCCCATCCAAGATGGGAGGATCACCTCAAACCCTCAATATTTGGCCACTACAGAAAAGCAAGCCCCCTCCTTTGGGAGGACTCCAAGCTTTAAACTTCACTGTAGTCCTCCTAAGTGTATTTGCCCTATTTCTGGTGCTTTTCCCCCACTTCCTCCCCCCTCCCTGCAAGTGGTTTCCTAACCAGCATGGTCTAAAGGACATCTTGGAAGAGAGGTCCCCCAAGAGTGTGGATCGTTGTGCCTTTCCCCCTCAGGATATTGGCCCCATGTCGTCTCTTACTGCAGTTGATGTGGCCTCCCTTGATGGAGTATTTGTACGTGACCAGCTTGGGGCTGCAGCGAGAGGAAGACACCTTGTTGTAGCAGCAGTCGTGGGCATGGCAGCACCTGTGAGCACAAGAGCTGTGGTCAGGGCAGGATGGGGAGCAGCTGGGGACATAATCACGGTGGTGAACACCTGGTGGTGCACAGCCCCCATGAGAAATGTCTTCCATTTTGCCTGGATTAGGCACGTGGTTGCGCAGCTGCATTGCCAGTGCTGGAGGAGAGAGGTGACTCACACCTTCCTGGCATCAGCTCAGCGCTCTTAATTGCTTTCCCATTGCTCTGCTGCAGTGACTTTGCAGAACATTGAGTGGCTGCTTTCAATTAGCCCAGGTGATGGCTGGCTCGGTGCATTTCTGCCTAGTGCCTACAAAGGCAGAAGAAATGCTGATGTGCCCCGTTCCCGTCAGCTACTGCTACTAAGCAACTTTTTAAGAGGTGTTAAGGACAAGCAGCCATTTTTTGCATTGCTATCTCAGCTCCCAGGAGCAGGGGTGAGCTTTCCCCTTGCTGGACCCAGGGGTAGGGAGGTGAGAAGGGCTGGGAGCACCCGTTCCACCAGCTCTTGACTTACCAGTCAGTGGCATCCAGTGGTCGTTTGGATCCCCCCCAGCCACAGTAGCAGCCATAACCATTGTAGGAGAGCCACGATTTCCCTGTCTTGTGCTTAATCATGGAACCCAACTGAAGCACGTTGCAGCTGGTGGGGACCAGCCCTGCGACTGGATACAGGGGGTTAGGAGTGTCAAGAAAAGCAAACCCCTCCCCATCCCACCCCTCCTCAAACCCCAGAATTTTTGCCCTCCCCAAATTTACCCATCAAACTCATCAGGTGGTGTGGGAGCTGAGGGGTACTCACGGCAGAGGAGCAGCCAGAAGAGCTTCATGTCTGGTGGTGGCAGCTCTGCTGATGGGGTGAGCCGGTGGTTCCACCAGTCACACCTTTTATGGCCACTGTGTACCTGCTTGGTGGGGCCCCTCCTTTGGAGAGCCTGAAGTGGGCAAATATTGACAATCCTCACCATAATGGTTCTGCTTCATGTGCAAGCCACTCTCAGCGCTGTCAGAGGCCCCAGCTGCAGGATACCCTTTGCAGGGGAGGTTTTGTTTGACTGGCATGAGTAGGGCAGACTGGGTTTGAGTCCATTTACAGGAGCTTGTAGTGAGAGGGCAAGGGGGAATGGATTAAAACTGGAAGAGGGAAGATTTAGCTTGGACATGAGGAAGAAATTCTTCAGTGTGAGAGTGGTGAGACCCTGGCCCAGGTTGCTCAGGGAAGCTGTGGCTGCCCCATCCCTGGCAGTGTTGAAGGGCAGGTTGGATGGGGCTTGGAGCAGCCTGGGCTGGTGGGAGGTGTCCCTGCCCATGCAGGGGGTTGGAACTAGATGATCTTTAAGGTTCCTTCCCACCCAAACCATTCTATGATTCTGAGTACCTCAGCATCCCAATGCCTTCTGGAACAAAACAGGAGAACTTGAGGGAGAATGGGAGTCACTTTATTCCTGTATGACTTATTTTTTTGATGCCTTGGTTAGAAAACACCATTCTGTATCTCACTGTTTCCATTGTGATTTATCTGAGCTGGGAGAAAGTGCAGCCAGTGCAAAGCACCCTCCACTTCTTACTTACCAAAGCAGGTGAGATGCAGCACCCTGAGAGAAGGAAGGTCTGGTTGTCCTCCAGAACAGGCAGTGGCTGAAGGCAGGGCTGAGTGTGCTGGTTTTCTTGTTAGCAGGAACTGGTCAGTGCCCAGATGCTCCCTGTACATGGGGGTGCTCCATCCCTTTCCCTGTGTGCACTGTGCATGGGCTTGCTCTCAGAACAGAATAAGTCAAGGAATAGGGTAAGGGGCTAAAAATCATGTGAGTGGTGTATAATGGAAGGGTAAAAAAAGAGAGGATGGTTATGTTGTTTGCCTGGAGGGAATCTCTAATTAATTGGTGATGCTGAGCAGTCGTTTTAGGGGGTTTCTTCTGGCAGAAATTGCAGATGCTCAGTGCTCTGTGCTGCTTTGCAGCGGAACTCCAGTGTGGGCAGACACTGAGCCAGGGGGAGGAAATCTCCCTGTTGCCAAGAGGGAAACTGAGGCAGGAAACAAGGCTGCAACTTTTCTGAGAATCAGAGAGATGTGTAAAAAGGGAACTCAGGCTGGACCTCAGCAAAATCTCTTCCCCTCCTTTGCCATTTGCCTCATCAGCTTTCTAGGCCAATTTAAGTAGCCCCTGGGATGGCCTCTAGTTAATTAGCTGAACTGGGACTTGCCATAATAGCAAATTTTCCACAGCCAGTTTTTAACACTGGAGAATAAAGTATGTTTCTGTCCATCCAAGCTGCCAGGTGAAAGACTCTCTGCCCCAACTCCCCACAGCAGGTTTCCAGTGGCCCTTCTCCAACTGTGAAATAACACCCCTTCCTGGGGTGAATCCCCATCCCTGGGAGGATGTGGGTTTTGTTTCTCTTTAACAATATGCAAACAAACACTTTTTCAGCCCAGTTTCTTGCAGTGTCCCAAGGGGGTGCAGTATCTAAGCCAGTATCAGCACTTGGAGCTCCGTATCAACAGATTGGTACAGCCAGGTGTCCAAGCAGGAAAATACAGAAATACTTAAAATTCACTCAGAATTTAAACACGGAAAGTGTGTTTCAGCTCATCGTGGCCTTCAACCTATCTCCATGATCACCTCTCTCCTGTCTTGGTGAGGATTTGATCCTTGATTTATGCCATGCAAACAGCAGCTGTTGGCCAAAGAGCTGCCTTCTGTCTTGTGTCCTCCTGGACTACAACTGACAGACAAGGAGAATGGTTGAGCTTGATCTTTGGGTTATAGTCAGGGTGAAGCATTTGTGATTTAAAGGTTTCCTTTGCTGCAGCTTTGGGTGGGAATTCCAGTTGCTGATGCCTGAGGTATCAGCCCTTGGGGAAACAGTATTTAGTTTCTGTGGCTAAATTTCATTGCTGAGCCCCACAGGAGTTTGCAGCCCTGAGACTTCCCAGGGGTTCAACCCTGCTGAAACGGTCGGCAGGGCAGAAAACCTGCATTGTGAGGATGCTTGTATTTGGGAGGTGAAAGCAGCCACAGCCTGAGCTGCCTTTCCTGGGGGATGTGCTCGGGGTTGTTGCAGAATTGGGCCAAAACATTCTTTTCGGGTGAGAAATTTGTTTTGCTCTGTGCTGAGCATGAGGCAAGAGCCACCTCCTGGCCACCCTGTCTCAGCAAAGGTTGCCAGCACCCACCCCCCCCTGCCAGCCCTTTGCACGAGCTTGGATTTCTCTGCCTCGGGGCAACTGCAAATTTTTCAAAGTGCAAACGTTCAGGGCTCAGAAGTTCAGGGGTGCAGATGTATCGTAGAATAGAACTGTAGAATCATGGAATGGTTTGGCTTGGGAAGGACCTTAAAGACCATCTAGATCCAACCCCCCTGCATGGGCAGGGACACCTCCCACCAGCCCAGGCTGCTCCAAGCCCCATCCAACCTGCCCTTCAACACTGCCAGGGATGGGGCAGCCACAGCTTCCCTGGGCAACCTGGGCCAGGGTCTCACCACCCTCACATTACCCAAAAAGGGGATGATACTGGTGGGCAATGCAGGCAGCTGGGGCTGGAGCATTATAAATCACTTTCCTGATTATTTGTGCATTGACCTTTAAGCTGCTGCTGAACTAACCTTTAAAATTTGAGTGTGCAAAGGGACTTTTTTATCCCAGCAAAGTGTATCTCCCCGTGTTGCCTCGGCTGGTGAAACCAGACACAGCCCAGGCAGAAGTGAGATCTTAAATTATTTGGAAATGTTGCTGCAGGACACATGTGGTCCTTGTTTTTGGTGCTAACTCACTGACTTGCAGGCTTTGGAGATGATATTTGAAACGGGGTCTCGACTCTGCTCCTCGTGTCTGGCTTTAACTTTGCTTCTGGGCAATTTCTTAGCTAAGAGGTTGGCATCTCCTCGCTGGCTGCAAGGGGTGGTCGCTGGGCTCAGCCGAGTCATGTCACACCGAGGACAGCTGTTTTGTGCTCTCTGGTTTTATTTTGGAACAGCAGAAGAGAATCTGTAGTGAAGCAGAAAGCAGAGGCAGCTGAAAGGCTGCTTGGGGAGCTCGAGCCAAGGGGAAATGAGTGTCATCCCGGTTTCCATCCCGTCCTCTCGCAGCGGCAAGGCGCAAGTGTCCACCCCTCCCTTGTTTTCCTATGCTGAAACAACCCATCTGCGCTGCTCCCCCTCCTCCGATCCAGTGTGTAATGACACAACTTCACCAGAGGGTTGGCTGTCCTCGTGCCGAAGCCAAAAAAAGCCCCAAGGAGGCAAGGAGACCCGCCGAGGTTTGGGAAGCGCTCCCAGCACCGCGCTGTCCCTTTCCTCGTCAACCTGGAGGTGGTTTTGCAAAAGAGCCTTTTGCTTCAATGTCTTTTGGTTTTCAGCACCTCCCGGCTCGTCCCCGGCACCGGCTGCGGTAGCGGAGCAGCCCTCGTGCGCGCGCCCGGCAGAGCAGGGCTGCCCGCTCGCACCTGCACGCACCTCTCTGGCACCAGCTCCCGGACCCTGCAAGGACCGGAGAGAAAACACCTCTGAGACCTTATTTTAGGGAAGATTCCGAGGGTGTTGCAAGGTAAAAGGGCATAATAAAGGAAGGAAGTGGTCTGGGAAGAGGCATCCCGAACGGAGCTGTGGGGACTCACTGCAGGTGGGAATTCCTGCTCCGTGTGCTGAGAGGGGCTGGATGGGTCCCGGGCGGCACCGTCGTGCAGCCAGTTTGGTGTAGCAGCAGGGAAGGAGCCGGCAGCACCTGCGGGGAGAAGGAGAGCCTGGCCTCACCCAGAGCATGGCACTGCCATTCCCCAGCCTGCCTGGAACAGGCTCTGTCAGCTGGGCAGGAAGAACCACCAGGGTTTGCACTCTCCTCCTGCTCTACATCACCCAGAAGCTGCTTTTTCTAGCCTGTTCCCATGCCCTCTGCTTCCCCTGGCAAGCCCTGCTCAGGTCCAAGAGCCCTTGTGCACCCTGGCTTTGGGACTGTCCCCAACCTCCTTGTGCCATCCCCATCCTCCAGTGCCATCCCCTTGACTTGAGGCAGTTGTTACTGACACAACCCTACTGACAACAGGGCTGGAATTAGGGGTGAACACCACCTCGCTTCCCCCCTTTCCTAAAACCTATTCCCTTTCTGCTCCCATCGCCTGGGCTGCGTTTTGCAAAGCTTTACAGAATGCTGCTGGGGTTGCTCGCAAGCCTGAGGGTTACCCTGGGGCTAGGATTAGCCATCCCAGGGCTAGCACTGTATTGCCTGTACCGGTCCATGGAAGCCATCGAGGTGCTGCTGCTGCCCCATCCGGAGGAGCAGCCGTGGGCGGTGAGATTTCCAACTGTGCTTCCCTCGAGTCCTGGGGCACGTGGGAACTTCCCATGAGCTGCCACCACACCTAGAGTGACCCAGAAAAGTGATTTTCCCCAAGTTATACGCAGAAATGAGGTCCCTGAAGGGGAGAGGAGGGCTTTGCTGGGAGTTTCCCCATGGAGGGTTTGGATCAGCTCCCTGGATCAGTGTGGGGCTCCTGGCTGTGGGTTGGGGAACGGCTGCACTTACTGCAGGAGAGCAGCACTGCCAATGTCAGCAGGACCCTCATCTTCCTCTTATCCCGGCCTGGGAGCAGAAACAGAGAACAGACTCAATCAAGCAGTTTGGCCAGCCGTGCACCCTTGCATCTGTGTTGCTGCCTCTTGGCTGAAGGCAAAGCTTCCTGAAGCTGTCCCACCACTGAACATCTCCCACCTCCTGTCCCACCACTTTTGACCCCCCGGGCATCCCTTTGCAGCAGCAGTGCAGCAGTCCCCCAGGGCTACAACCTTCCCAGATGGGTTTTTATCCAAAAGCAGTGACACTATCTACTGGGATGGAAAAGCAGCGTGCCTGCTGCCTCCTCCCAACGTATCCCCCCTGTTTTTGTTCCCGCAGCAGCAATGCAGCCACCCCATCCAGCAGCAGGGTGAAAGTGGGAATTGCTCACCAAGGGATCACTCCAGCTCTGATTCCTCACTGCCAATCTGTCCTTCTGTGGGGAGCTCTGCCCTCCGTGTCTATCCCACGAGCTCCAAACTGAAATTACTCTTCTGTCCCAAAAATGCTTTTCTTCTACGCCCCTTCCCTCACTGGCCAACCCCCCCTTCTCCCCGTGGGCTGTGACGCAGGGAACAAGACAGAGTTTTCACCAAGTTTGGGGAGGATAATGTCGAGTATTTACAGGGATTTCTCTTCCTGCCCAGTAGCAGTTCACGGAGATTAAGCACCTTGTTTATTTTCATACAGATTGAACTGACAGCAGCACCAATGTGGTCTGTGCAGACAGGGCTGGAAGGTGATCTGGATGCAGAATCCATGAATTTGCTCCAGCCCTGCATCCCAGCTCTGGTCACTGGCACTGGTGCTTGGGATAGAAGCGGTAGCGTTTGCTGTAGCTCCCCAGGTTCCTCTTCAGGCAGAGTGCCAGGCTGCGGTCACACTCACAGGAGAACTTCCCACACAAGTTGTCCTTTTCTGCAGGCAGAAGGGAGCTGAGGGTCACACCTGGCTTTCTGGGGAGGTGTCACCCCCTTTGCCATGGTCCTACTTACGGCAGGAGGGGCTGCCACCCGACCAGCTGTAGTGATAGTTCTTCATCTTGGCATTGCAGCTGTACCTGATGAGGTTGTTGTAGCAGGTATCATGCAGCTGGCAGCACCTGCAGGGGAGCTCAAGGCTTTGGGGGGTTGTTTGTTGGGGTTTTTTTATCCCCCTACTCTATCAATTTAAAAGTGTGCAGGAAAGTTGTGCAGCCTGGAGAAGAGGAGGCTCCAGGGAGACGTTAGAGCACCTTCCAGTGCCTGAAGGGGCTCCAGGAAAGCTGGGAAGGGACTTTGGACAAGGGCAGGGACTTTGGACAAGGGCAGGGTAAGAGAGGACAAGGGGGAATGGACTAAAACTGGAAAAGGGGAGATTTAGGTTGGACATTAGGAGGAATTTCTTCCCTGTAAGGATGGTGAGACACTGGAACAGGGAAGCTGTGGCTGCCCCATCCCTGGAAGTGTTAAAGGGCAGGTTGGATGGGGCTTGGAGAAACCTGGTCTGGTCAGAGGTGTCCCTGTCTACGCAGGGGGTTTGGAACTAGATGGTCTTCAAGTTCCTTTCCAATCTGAACCAGTCTAGCATCCTATGGTTCTCTGATGTGTTGCAGCAGGGAGGTTTTTAACCTCACTTGTCGGTGGGGTCCTTGGGCTGCCCTCTGCCCCCCATACCACAGTAGCAGCCATAGAAGGAATAGTACAGCAAGGCGTTCCTCCCCGTCACCTTTGTGATCATCTCGTGCAGATTCCAGAGGCTCCCAGGAGCTGGGGACAAGCCTGTGGGGAAAATTGGTGGAACTCACCCCAGCACCCCACCCCCCAACAGCATCCTTGTCCCCCAGCCCTCAGACTGCTATCAGGTTGTCTTAAAAACAAGCAGAGACAATGGAAAGGAAACATATCCCTGGCTCAGTGCAGGAAAAGTTGTTGTGTGTTTCAAAGAGGTGGTCGTGAGAAAAGATCAAGAAAGCTCTAGTCTGGTCCTGATTTCCATGGATGTAACTTATGGAAAGCCACAGGACTGCTGTGAGCCAGGACACTTACCCCAGGCAAACAGCACAAGGAATGCCAGGAGAGAGTTCATCTTCTTGACAGCCCTGGGAGAGGAAAACAAACCATTATTTCTCCATTATATCAACCACTTGCTATTATGTTTCCCCCTCATTCAGGGGCAGAGATGCTCTGGGGATTAGGAGGGTGAGGATGTGCCCATCACCATCCCTCTGGCACACGGCTCTGCAGTGTCAGGTACAGGAATGGGATGGCAGAGGGGTGGGGCAGAGCAAAATGAAGGGAAAGGGAGAAAAGTTGGAAGATCCATCAGCTCTGGAGGGCTGCACCCTACTGGAGCCTTTGGATGGCATCTCAGGTAGCTTCTTTGCTCCTGCTTTCCTGGCATGGACCCTGCTCCCTATTTGGCCCACAGCTTTTGGTTCAAGTAGGAACCCACTTACCTTAGGAAAGCTGCTGCTTGCTCACAGGGCCCTGTAGCCAGCAGGGCTTGCTTTATATAGTGTTTGCTCCTCACCATTGTGTGCTCAGACCCCATCCTTCTCCTTTACAGGAATGCAGAAACACCCCAGTTCCACACCAGGGTCAGCACGGGTTGGGATGTGCTGGTAAAGCAGCATCACTTCCAACCCAAGGAGGAAGCCAACAGCCTTTTCCCCCAGCTGGAGATACACAAGGGCCTTTGTCTCTGCCCTCCCAGCACCATGGTTCTGTGTCAGGGGGGATATCATAGCCCTGGTTCAGCTTTTGCACCCCAGCAAGTGCAAAAAAAAAAGCATGTTTGGGTTTTTTGAGGGGTCTCAGTTTGGGAACTGTCCTTCTGCTCTGCTGCAAAGATGATTCAGGGCAAGTGATGGGTTCTTTGGGAAAAGTATATGGGCAACAATAAAAGCATCCCCAAATGTGCTGTTCCTAGAAACACAGGGTTAGGCAGGGACTGGATGATTAAATGCTCACCTGTCGTGAGAGGGAATGAAGCAAAATGAATGTTTTTGGGATGAGTGACTGCAAATACTCTTTATTTCTTTTGGTATGATTTTTCCACTTCCACACTGCAACCTGTATGCAGAACTCATGGAGAAACTAGTTAGTCACCAACTTAACTGCCCTCCTAAATTAGCATCTGCCTTGGTATGGACAAGGCTTGAAATCTTCCCTCTTCTGCAGATAATTAGTCTTTACCCTTTATTTTTACATAAGCATCAGAAGAGGGTCTCAAACAATCTCCCACATTTTCCCACTTCAATTATTCCTGTAAAAATACACCTCTTGGCCTCATCTGCCCCTCAATGCAATTGTTTGAAGTTTTTGGGGTGATTTCAGCTAGTGAGAATGGACACTGGGAGAAGCCAAAACACCTGGCTGCCATCAGGGCTCACCACTGGGGAATTATTTAGTTTACAAACCCCAGGGAGTTTTACTTGGTGGCATTTCTTTGTCCTTCATAGCTAAGGGGTCTGGCAGCAGCACTCCTGCTCCACAGTGGGATAGGCCTGGCCAGGGAAGGAGTAAATAACTGGCAGTGAATGAGCCACTGTCAGACCAGGCCACTGTCAGGTTTTTTTTGGGACCATGAAAATATTGGGGTGTCTGGCAGCTGGTGTGAGAGGGAAAAAGGTTCTCCAAACTTGGGAGACTACATGACTCCATTCCAGTGCCTCAATCTCAGCAGCTCTGAGAAAACACAACAGAGAATAATTTTGAATAACTTTTATTTCATGATCTTTGCTGGGAACTGAAATCAAGAAAGAAAAAAGAAAGGAGGAAGGGACAAAGTAAGAAAAGGAAGCTGTCTCTTTCTGGGTCCTGGGGGATTTCCATCCCTAATGTGTGTGTACCCTGAGCATCATCCAGCTCCGTGCAGCCCCCCCTGTCGGGCTTTTCTTGCTGTAGCAATGGGGAAAAGCCAGTCAATATCTGCAAGCTTGGGTGCAGATTTCTCATCCTCAGCACTGGAGCTGACTTCCTCGGCATTTCAGCTTGAAATAGAAGCGGTAGGATTTGTTGTAGGAAGGCAAAGTGGCCGCGAAGCACGAGGCCACCGCCTTGTCGCAGAGGCAGGTCTCTCTCTTGCACCAGCTCTGCTCGTCACCTGCAGGGACAAAACACCGTGTTACCTGGTGTTTTTTCCAGCTGGCATTGGCAATGGGGTCCCCGTGGACCTCCCCTCCACCCCACCCAGCGGTACTCACTGCAAACGATGTCCCCATCGGTGACATGGAAGTGGTAGGGGGTGATCAGGGGTCCGCACTTGCCCTCCCGCAGTTTCCTGTAGCAGCAGTCGTGGGCATGGCAGCACCTGCGGGGGACACTGCCTCACACTGCTGCCCCGGAGCCCCCCCGTGCCTCCTTCGGAGGGAAGGAGGGTCCAGCCTTGAATTTAAGGTCACTGAGAGGAGGGGATGACAAGGGAGCAGCAAGATGCGGCTGGAGAACAGTGCGAGTTCCCCTCCGGGAGCACGGCGAGGAGATTTTAGGGACCGTCAAACCAGAGCCGTGAGTTGGGGATGCTTTTCCAAGCACTCACCGATCCGTGGAGTCCACCGGGGTCCCTCTGCCCCCGATGCCACAGAAACACCCGTACCAGCTGTAGGAGAGCAGGGCACTTTTCCCCGTGGCCGACCTGATCATCTGCTCCAGCTCCAACACGCTGGCGCCCGCCGGGAGCAGCCCTGCAGGGGAAGGGACCGGCTCAGCCGGTGCGGAGAGACAGGGCGGGCAGCATTCCCCACATCTCAGGCTGGGCAGAGGAATTAGGTGAGCCTGATGTTGCTGGAAATACATGCTTTGAACCATGAGAAGCCCCTCTCAAACCCTCTGGGGATTATAGCTGGTGCTGCAACTGCTGGATCTGGTCTGGCAGAAGGTATCAGCACGCTCTGCACAGGCTGGGTTTGCATCCTGCAGCTGACACTGCCATGTTGCCAGGATCAGCCCTGGGCTTGGCACAGGGCTTCTGAAAATAAATATGGATCTGAGCATCCCAAAGCCTTCCCATCATGAACACCTTCAGGACCACGGTGGTGCCACATGAAGCATTAGAGAGAAGCACCAAGACTCTGGGGTTTTGTCTCTTTTTTTTGCCATGCAGGCAAGATCCCAGCCTGGTTGGATGAAACAGGGGCACTTACCACAAGCCAAAAGCACGGCAAAGAGGAGGTTCTTCATCCTCGGGCTGGCCCTGGAGGAGGAAACAACACCAGTGGGTGATGAGCAGGACACCGAGAGCGTGGAGCTGGCTGGGTGCCCCCTGGCTGCATCACATGGTGACATTAGTGTCACCGTGGGTATAGAGCATTGTGGAGGCACCATCATGCCCCAGCCTACACAGCTGACACCCAACAGGGCCTTTTGGCTCCTGTTTTGGGATGCAGCACTTGGCAGGGATGTGTCCAGGGACACGGTGGGCTGATGAAGAATCTCTTGGTATGAAGCCTCCCAGCTGCTGTCTGATGAAATACAAGGGCCATGAATTCCCCCCCCCTCCTTACCCCGCCTGGAGTTGGCTGCTCCCAAACTGCTGGCCTTGTGGGTTTGGTTTATATAGGCAGTGAGGTCCACCCCCTCCTCTGCGCTGACACTGCGGTTCATCCCAGCACAGAACTCACCAAGCAACCCCTGGCTGAAGGAGAAGGGTCCCATCCTTCCCTTTGGCAAGGAACTCCAGTTTGCCCACAGTAGTGGTGCTGTCTCCATTATCCCACTCCTGCTTGTCACCCAGGCATGAAGCTGTCTCCATCTAGGGCTGCTGCAGCTTCTGGAAGAGGCCAGACAAGGTCCTGGCTGCGGTGTTTAAAAGCCATGGCATCCCTGATCATTAAGCATCCCCTTCCCACCTTATCCACAAAAAAACTATCATTGGGTGGCTGGAGAGACAGAACAGAAGTAGTTTGTGCCCAGGAGAAGCAGAGCTGGTACCGTGAGGATTGTCACATCCTTGTTGCAGCTGCTGTGGTGGCACTTTGGCCTGGGTGCCACCTCAAGTGGTTGCTTTGTGGTGCCAACTCACCCCCTGCAACCTCAGAGGTGATTTCTCTTGGGTATTTCACTTGCAGTTCCCTCCCACCCCAGATCCATGTCCACATCCAGAGTGAAGAGAGGATGACAAATGCCAGGGTCTCATTTCTTGGGTCTGTGCTTTTCCTGTCCTGCCCTCAGGGCACGGGAAACTCTGGGCAAGGAGTCTGTGGAATTAAATAAGCAGCTGGAAATGTAATGGAAACCCAACCTGAAATACTTTTCAAATACAGTTTATTTAATCACCAGAACAGAGATGTGATACAGAAACACAAGGGAAGCAGAAAAGCAGGGGGAGGAGGGAGAGATAAGAAACAAAAGCTGTTATCTGCCCTGCCAAACTGTGGGGCCAAATGCAAACATACACAGAGACCCCACCCTCAGTGATTAACCACACTCCTAGGGAAGGGAATTTGGAGCCTGGAGAGTCAGGAAACTCAGGGGTCTGTATTCAAGAGGAAAAAACCCTTGTTGAATTTCTTGAGAGCTGCCAAAGGTGCTTACTGGAAGGGACATCACCTCCCCAGGCTGGCAGAGATGTATGTTCTGTGGGTTTTCTTCCTTTTAACTTTGCATTTCCTCCTGCCAAGTGGAATAAAAAGCCAAATAAATAAAAGATTTTCAAAAAATCTAAGCCCGATGAGGAAAGGATAAGCAGCAGCTCACCTGCTTCCCTGCTTAGGGAGGAGGAAGCACTTCGAAATGCCACGATGTCCAAACCCCCTGCTTTCCCCACCCGACTATTAGAGCTGTGGCATCCCTGATGATTAAACATCCCCTTCCCACCTTATCCACAAAACCCCCTTCCATTAGGACAGATTTTTTCCCCCCTTGTGATGTTTGTTAGGTGCTTGTGTGCTTTGGTGTTCCTTACCTTTCGAGGTGGGCCCTGATGGGGAAAGGTGGCCCTGATCTCCTGGGAGATTTTGGTGTTTTGCTGTAAAGTTTGGCTAAACCTACATGAAAAGCACTTAAATGGAGAGCAGAGAGCTGGGACCATGCTGGAATCACTCAGAAATTCTACAGGTGGATTTAACCAAATCCCCCCATTTTAAGACCTTCCTTTCCGTGGAGGACCTCAGGAGGGTGAGCACACAGGGCTAAATCCTCTTCTCAATCAAACTGCAAACCTGGGTGGGTAAAAACCACACGTGGAAGTTATCCCATGGGAAAGAGGGAACTTTCCACCCCTCCCATGAGAGGTATCGACTCACAGATTTGTTTGTTCATTATTGAAATGCAAACTCACCAGGTGCTTTGATCTTCAAGCACATGGCTTGGGTGTGATGTTGCTGAACATCCCATGGACGGGAGGGGGAGGAGGAGGTGACATGAGATCATTTTCTGACCTTTTTTAGTCCCTTTACCACCTTGATCTCTGATCTAGATAAAGTTATCTGAAGTTATTTATTGCTTGTTTCTTGTTGCCTTTGATGGGCACCTGGTTAGTGGGAGAAGCAGCTGGTTAACCAGACACAGGGTTTCAAAAGGGATTAATGGGAAGGGATGGAAATGGTGGTGGTGGGTAATTTTTTTATGGCATTTTCATCAAAACGAGTGAGTTCATTGTTTATTTATTCAGATTTATGCAGCAATGGCTCAGGTGAAGCTGTTCAATCCCTTGCCAAGCAGTCAGTCCCTAGTCCTGTTGCTCCCATCCTGCTGCTTTTGCTCAGGAGAGGGTCTGGCACCCTATTTTTAAGGAAGAAAAAGAAGGCTTTTGGTATCTAAGCCCAAGAATAAGGGGCTTTTTGTCAGTAGGGATCCCTCCAGCCTATGGTGAGTGCTGTTGTATTCTAATAGCTCATTAATATATTAATGGTATGTTAATACAGTGAATCCAATGACTTGGTGTTTTTCTAACCGGTGCTCAAAGCTGTATCCAAGACAAGCTGTGGGCAGAGTTCCTGTCCACCCTTTTCCTCCTTGCCTCATCATCTTGACCACTCAGGATATGTTTTTTCCTCTAGTTGGAATCTGGTTTTGTCTAAATCTTACTGTGTCGCTGGTAGATACCATCTTAGATAAGCCTTGTTTTTATTCTGCGTGTCCCTTATGTCCTCCTTTATGCGACTTTTTTTTCCCCAGAATGTGATTTTTTTCCCCAAAACTGTGACTTAACCAGCCGCAGCCCCGCGGAGGGACCGGAAGTGGGTTGGTCGCCTTGGCAACGCGTCTGTGCCTGTCCCGGGGGGCGGGCCGGGTCCTGGTTGTTGAGGTGGGTTACTGGGTCGGGACCGGTCTGCGGGGATTAGGGACGGCTGAGGGGCTGTGGTGGTGAGTTATAGGGGCCGGGGCTATGCTGTGAGGCCAGGACTAGGCTTAGCTGTGGGGCTGAGGCCAGACTGTGGCAGTGAGGACGCTGCTGTGCTGTAGGGCCAGGGGCTTGGGGCTGACTGCTCTCCCAAGCCTTGGGGTCGCCGTGTTTGGGGACACCTGTGGGCACAGCCTTTCCTGACTATGGTTCTTTATCCCAACCCCTCACCCAGGCACCTGAACACAAAATATGCTGTACTGAAAACAGCTCCTCACAGCAAAGCTCTAATTCATACCATGCAGAAGCAGTACAGACCCTGGCTCGGGAGCGTCCCACCATGACTTCTGGCAGATTGGTTGTTTGGGGGGTTTTATTCTTATTATTCTTTTACTCACTTGTGTGATGCACTCTGGAGTTCCTCTTCAGGGGATGCTGAACCTCAGCTCGTTGCCTTAGAAGTTAGAGGCAGTACGTGAAAGGCACAATCCCCTTTCCCTTCCCTCCCTCCCTCGGGCTCCTAAGAAACTCCGATGAGTCACTTGGTGTCCAGGCTCACACAGGGAAAGATCTCTCCATCTCCAAGCAGCTTCCTGCTGGCTCTGGTCAGGGTGTGCCTCTACTGGGACTCTTGGCTTTGCTGGGCGTTGCTGAGCATTCCCATTTCACAGTAGTGGAGAAGCCAAGCATCCAATACCAAATTGCTGGCAAAAAGTTGTGGAACAACCCCAGTGGCTGTTCCCTTCTCTATGTTTGTTTTGTGATGAGGAGCAGCAGGTGAGTTTGACTTCACCATTCCTGGAGAATGCCAAGTGATCAAAGCTGATGTATTTTCTGCCCCCCCTCCCCCCACCTTGACAAATCTGGCTACACAAACCACAGAAAAAGAAGGAGAAGTGCATGACCCTTTGTACTTCTCCAAAGTGTTGGTGTGAGGTTATGACCTGGTTGTCCAGGCTCTTGGGCTTTCTTCTGGTAAATCATGAGGGGTCTGAGAGCAGTTTCATTTGGGGAACACACAGCAGAATGTGGCTTCACCTTTAATGGACGTTAATAACAGTCTCTGTTAAGCAGCCTTTGGCCACAGGAGAAGTCAGAATGGGTTTCTCTGTCTGAATCAGGCATATCCACTCTGCATTTTTGGGGATGCACCTCATGATCCTCGGCACCTGGAGGGGACACAGATCAGGATGGTGTTACTGCTGGAGTGCAGCCACTGTCCCAGCTGCTACTGGAACTGCTGTCCTTCCCACTGGTCTCTGCTGACTGCAACAGCTCCATTTGCCCCAGACCCCTGGTTTGGGAGGGAGGGAAGGACAAGGCCCAGCAGGGCTCACAAGCAGGGCAATCCAGCCACAGGGCACGGGCACCTTCAGCCAAGAGACTCTCTTGGCCATGTCCTGCACGTTGGTGCCCCTCTGCCTGTCATAGGTGTCATCTGCTGTCCAGGCTTCACTGGCTACCCTACGTAGGAACATTTGTCCCCTGAGAATGCTGGAGGTTGTCTCCAAACCCTTAATTAGTAGGTCAGATGATGGCCTCACTTGCCCCCCTGTGCACACTCCCAGCCATGGGCGAGTACATGGGACTTTAGATGCCACTGCTTCATGCTGTAATTCCAACAGCTACTGGTAGACACTCTGGTGCAAAAAGAAAAACAAAAGAAACAAAATTTAAAAAATAAAAATCAATGAATGTATCTGTAGAAAGTGAGAATTGATAGAAACCTTCATTAGAGACAGAGTCATTTTAAAAAGGTGTCTTAATTGTTCCCCAGTTTCAGTTGTTCAGTCTTACCCACCAACCCAGAGAAGAGACACCTGGTTTTATACAAATATGTTTATATACAAGTCCACAAAACAAATTAGCTATGAGAAGGACCAAAGGTGCCATCCCT